GCCCTGCGCCATCACCTCCGTCGTCACCGTTGCCTCTATCATCGCCTCTGTCGTCAGCGTCACCTCTATCATCGCCCGTGGCTGCATGTGTTCCCGACGCAAAGAAATCGTCGTTGTCGCTGGTTGTGCTGTCGAACAAGAAGTCACCCTCGTCCCAACGCATGTGGGCCCTGCGAATGCAACCATCCGTCCTCTGTCCCCGAGTCCGAGGAGCGGAACCCACATCGCCACGTGTCCGTCCTCCCACACCTGCTCGTCCACGACCGCCACGTCCCCGACCTCCGGCCCTGCATCGCCTCCTGTCCAACTCCGCCACCTGACGCTCGGCTCCCATGTGGGAAACGACGTGCATCCTCTCTCTGGTGAGGCTCAACTCCTCCTCGGTCACCTTCGCCAGCGCACCGGTGCCTCTGACGAGCTGCTGGTCCACGACCGCCTCATCCTCCACGGCCTGCCAATATGACGGTGAAGGAGGCGGGGGCGGGGGAGGCGATGGCGGAGGCAGGGGCAGGGGAGGTGATTCAGCAGGGCCCGGGGGCGGTGATGAGGGGGGAGATGGCGGAGGTGGTGAGGGGGGGGGTGATGGTGGAAGGAGCGGGTGCCGTGGCGACAGGGTTGAGGAGCGTGTGGACGACGATGTTATGCCCGGTGGTCGCATCGTTTTGCAGCGGTTGAGACGCGGGGGCAGACGGGATGAGAGCATTGCGTCTCGTGTGCGCAGACGTCGTGTCCACATTGCGACTAACACGGGGGCACGTGTCATGCGGCAGGACCCGGTTGTCGTGTCAGAGGGCGAGATGGGAGATCCTTCCAACGAGACGCGGCATGACCCGGTTCACGCAGAGGCGCAAGCCTCGGTGACAGATGCGATGTTGACGGAGGAGGATACTGGGTCGCCAACGCTGGTTGTTGGAACTGAGGAGGAGACGGAGTTCGGAGGACCCGGTCCACTCCGCCAGGCGCAGACTCGGTGCACTCCAACAGGCGCCCCAGTCCACTCCACAGGAGCAGGTTTGGAGGACGGCGAGGCACGACGTGAGCTGCCTCCTCACACGAGTGACGGCGGTCTAGAGGATGGAGAGGTTGCACCTACTCCCACTTGTGGACCGGACGGGGAGGACGAACGTTCTACGACGGGCCACCACGTCGACCTCAACTGCCCGCCCGACAGGCTTCCGCGCACCGACGAGTTATTGAACATGGATTCCGTCTTGGCATTTCTGTCCGATGTATCGCTATTGATATCTCCCACTTGGCGGTTGTGGCACCACCGGAGCCTGCTGGACGAGATGACGCGCGTCGTGACAGAGGGTTCGACGAGTTCGACGGCGATACGATACTGCATCCTCCAGAGTTTGGCACTCCCGCCATTTTTCATGTCGGTGCACCGTGGGCGGTGGAGCAGGGGTTGGCAGAGGAGGTGGCACGGAACCGTCGTGGCGGACCGCCCTTCGCAGCGCAACGTAGTTTGGGAGGTTCACTAGAGGCAGCGTCTGGAGATTTTGCGGCGCAGTTATCGGACGGCGTGTCATCGGTCCGTCCACCGGACGAGGGCCCGCAGCGAGAGCCACATCGAGGCTCGACGGAGACTTTAGAGGCGAGGCCTCCCGGAGTTATCCGCTCGGACGGAGGCGAGGGCATGGGCCATGATACGGCGCAGCCAGGGAGCGCAGACGCTGGACGGTCCATCGGGGGGGGCATCGAGCGCATAGGGTTATCGACCACACACCCCAACATTGTTAGGCCCAACGCACATGACGTTGGAGACGCGCACACAGATGAGCCTCGACCGCATCTGATGGGGATGCATGACATCATGCGTCCACCACCCTCACGCTCCCCTGCCGCTGACTTCGTCGCCCACGGGCAAGCCTCTCAGGGCGCATTGCCGACGAGGTCTTTCTACGACGGTGCGGCCATGGACTGGAGGGCGGGCGATATCGGACATGCATCAGCATGCGAACCGACCGATATGACCGCGAGGGCACGATTGATCGGCAACGTCGATGGTACTTGTCACGATTCCATGAGAGCTTACGAGGAGCAGCATGGGAGGCCTATACGGGCCAAGACGACCGATGTCCATGACACCAGGACGGCTACTGCGAGGCTATCACGGGCGAGGAAGAAACGAACAGGTGCGTCGATTCCGTATCAGCGGCGCCGCCCGCATCCTTTTTTCCGCAACAGTGACGAGACCAGACAGATGCCAGCTGCTGCAGATGGAAGGGGCGGGGTGGACGGAGGTGACAGAGTGGACGAATCAGGGCGAGGTGAGAAGAGACGAGGCGGCACGATCATCATCCACGACGATATCTCCACAGCCGCTGAGGGTGGTGAGACCACATGCGTCGACGATCCTGATGACTCCGATTACGTCCCGAGGATCCGGACGGTGGAGGTCGTCACGTAAGGATGAGGACTGGACCTGGCCCGGAAGGTCATTGCACCCCATCGACACATTTGCCGCCTATTGATCCACGGGCGCGAGCTCGTTCTCTGTTGCG